TGCCCAAGGATGCCTCAATCTCACGATAAGTCACATGACGATCTTGCAATATCAGTTCACGCATAGCATCAATGTTTTCTGGAACAACAACCGATTTTGGACGACCTTCACGAAATTCATCAGTAAGCGAACTACGGCCACGATTGAATTCCGTATACCATCGATATATAGTGGTTTTTGATAGTGCTTCATCGCCAAAAGTCGAATTAAGTTCATCGATGCACTGTTGTTGAGATAATCCACGTCGAAAGTTATAAAAAATAATCGCACGGAAATGTTCACGACTTAATTCCATTTCTTGGCCGACATTAATTTTTCATGTCACTGTAAACAACACAAATGGCGCATGGACATCAAAACGTTCTGAGTAAGTATACTGACAAAAAGTCGAACTTTACGTTAGGGACGTCGGTTGTCAGATGGCAGCACCTGGATCGTCCATTCCCGAAATATAAAAGGCAACCCTCGTACATACGTAACGGGATAAATATTTTGAAATAAGACGCTTTTTGTCAAACATTAGTATTTTACGGCAAGAGACGCCGGTGAATATTTAAGAAGAATCGAAAGAATAATTTATTAAATATTATATAGCACGGTATGTGGAAGACACCGTACTTATTGCAGAGCAAGAAAGATACCTGGACATTGATAAATATTTAAAATTGTCTCTATATATTGGATGTACAAATATCACTTTACGGATTTTTTGATAAAATAACACATTGATTTGAAACATAATAAACCATTCTTACTTTATTAAAAATATACTCCATCGGAAGCTACAACCTTTGCCCATCTTTCAAGCAATAAACGGATTCCACGCTGATAGAAGTAGTTTTGAAGCGATCCAGTTATGAAGCTAATTTTTAATTTCTTCATAAGAACTGAACTGCTCTCCAGAAAGAGCTGACATCATAGATCGGAACAAATAGTAATCTGAGGAAGCAATATCTAATGAATATGGCGTGTGAGGTAGAATCTCCTAGCTCACTCCTTCTAGAAATGATCTAATTTTTAATAAGTATTAGGAGTACAAATAAGTTTCCGCCGTTTTCTAAAAAAAAAATTAGGAATTTATTGTGAAAGAACGGTACATTACGTTTTATTCAAAGTATTGTCCATCACTAGCCACTGCTTTTTCCCATCTTTCTGGCAGCATTCGGATACCACGTCGGAAGAACTCTTCATCTTTTGAAGCTATCCACGAATCGACCCAATTTTTAGTATCTTCATATGATGTAAAGCGCTGCTTAGACAGGCCATGTGCCATCGACCGGAACAAGTGATAATTGGAAGGGGCAATGTCTGGTGAATACGGCGGGTGGGGTAGGACTTCCCAATTAAGTGTTTCCAAATAGGTTTTGACCGGTTTTGCAACATGTGGCCGAGCGTTGTCATGTAGGAGAATAATTTTGTCGTATCTGGAGTAGTAATGGGCGCGTTTTTCCTTGAGTGCTCGGCTCAATCTCATTAATTGTGTTCGGTAGAGAGCTCCAGTAATGGTTTCGCTCGGTTTGAGCAATTTATAATAAACGACACTAAGCTGATCTCACCAAATACACAGCATGAGTTTTTTTCCATGAATATTCGGTTTGGCTGTCGATGTTGAAGCATGGCCAGGTGGTCCCCATGATTTTCTCTTCTTTGAGTTATCGTAGTGGATCCATTTTTCATCACCAGTGACTATACGATGCAAAAAAACCCTTTCTTTTATGCCTGGCAAGCAGTATTTCACACGTGCAAAATCGGCGTTCAACGTCTCTCGGCTTCAGTTCATATGGAACGCAATTTCCTTCTTCTTGGACCCATTCCCAACGATTTTAAACGATGTGAAATTGCTTGTTGAGTCACTTCTAATGTAAATGCAAGTTCTTCTTGCGTTTGGCACGAATCTTCCTCCAATAATGTTTCCAATTCCGTGTCTTCGAATACTTTCGGCCTTCCACTATGTTCTTCGTCTTCCACGTCAAACTCACCGTTTTTAAGCTTTTGAAACCACTCACGACAACTTCTCTCACTTAAAGCAGTCTCACCATATGCTTCTACAAGCAATCGATGTGCCTCAGCTGCAGATTTCTTCAAATTAAAGAAGTAAATCAAAAGTTTCCGCAAATGACGCTTATTCGGCACAAAACTTGACATTTTCGCACGAAAAAAATTATGTGATGCTAATATGGAGTCACTGATACTTCAAGGTTATGTTGTTACTATATGTCCAAACTTACAATATTACGTTTTACATCTGACAATTTCAACATAACCTTCTGGTGGGGCCATCTTTTGTCAGACGGCGGGAACTTATTTGTACTCCTAATATTATCTAATTCTTTACGGATCCATGAACATCTGGTTTGGCATTGTATATTTATCATTGTCATGCTGTAAAATTATCTTGTCATGTCTATTCTTCCATTCCGGCCGTTCTTTCCTTCACAGCCCGGTTCAAACGTATTAATTGTAGTTGGTAGCGTTCACCAGTGATAGTTTCAGGCGGTTGTACTAGCTCATAATACACCACACCCTTCATATCTCACCAGATACACAGCATAACCTTGCTGCCGTGGATGTTTCGTTTTGGCGTTGATGAACTAGGTTCACCGAGCTAAACCTATGCTAGTTTGCGTTTAGGATTGTCATAGTAAATCCACTTTTCATCGCCAGTAATAATTCGATGTAAGAAACCCTTTCTTTTTTGTCGTTGCAGCAACAATTTGCACGTAGTTTTCCTTCTTTCGATGTCTCTTTCTTTCAGTTCGTGTGACACCCAATTTCCTTGCTTTTGGACCATTCCCATCCCATTCAGGCGTAGGGAAATGCATTGTTGGGTAACATTTAATGCTGCTGCTAATTCTTTTTCCGTTTGACACTCATCTTCGTCCAATAATGCTTCCAATTGTGCGTCTCCAAAATTTTTCGGCGGCTTTCCATGCGGTTTATTATCTGTGGCGAAATCACTACGAAACGTCACGAGGAAAATAGTCAAGCAGCCATGTTGTCCACGCGCCGCGCGGGCCGCGGTAGTCCGCCGCGCGCCGCTAGGAGGCGGCGCACAAGCCCAAGCTCTTACAGTCAAAATTAGGTCCCAGGAAGCATGATAAGGCTGTGCCGCAGGCAATCAGCAGTATACGCTCATCCACGCTAGCACCTGCTAGAACCGATAGCATTCGCTTACATTTTTGGTGATATAGTTGAGTCCTCATTAGAGTATAAGACTCGCTATATCCTTGAACAGTCAGGGTCTACGACCCGCATAGCCGAGAGCATCGCTCACCAACGGCACCACCACCTGTCGTCGGTTAAACTCCTTTCTTCCAAGCGAAGAATCCGGGGGAATCTTCCCCACTCAGACCCCTGAGCTTGCTAGCAATCCCCCAGAAAGCAACATTGCCATCACAAGAGGCGAAATGTTGGTCCCAGGGAGAGAAGCCGCCAGTGAAAAGAAGGCTGTGACAACCTTCTCGACACTCTCTTCGACGAGAGTCCTCCAGTTACTACCGATTCCGCATTGCCCCCGGCCTTCCGACCAAAAACACGAAGGATTTGGTTTCTTGATCCTGAGCCCGACGAACCAAGGTCTCCTCTTCCTTCACAATCTAAAGACCTCTCCCGGAGAGCCATTCTCATTCCTTGGAGATTGATCCCGTTAAGCCTCTCGCCTAGGAGGCGAACTAGGCCACCAGCGTGCTTTGAGACACTACGGGCGATACAAGCCCAAAAGCCTCAAGCCACGTCCACAAGGACCAGCCACCCGCAGCACAGGGACTCAAACCTCTCCCAGGAAGACGCTGACCCGTCTGGTCCGCCCGAATATTAAAAGACCGCAGTCACTAAGACTTTCCTCGCGAAAATCATGTCTATTTTCAAAAACACGATGGACATTCCTCAAATATAATTAAAGCAAATACATGTTCCTTTAAGGTTCCCAAGCCTTTAATTACTCAATAGCCAAATATCCCCTTGCGATCATATACACAACATAATTGGTAATGCACCAAATCATCCAAATAAAAATCGTGCTTTCCAAATCGTTGAAATTACTTTTCACACATGCTTACCGATGGAGCATGTTCTTTGTAAGCGTCCACAAGCAAACGATGGCTTTCAGCTGCACTTTTCTTTAAAACAAAATAATGCAGTAACATTTCCCGCAAATAACATTTATTCAGTACAAAAGTAGACATTTTCAATATGATAAATATAATTACTGTTTACACTTTTTTATTTTTGGCTACTCTACAAATATGCCACATTTCGAAATCGGAGACATACACTTTGCGGATGTTCTTCGTTAATATTTACTAGCTACATTAATATCTTGGTTCAAATATAGCAGATATACACAAATATCTATTGATACATTTGGGTGTACATTTTCGAGGTAATAGTTATTTTTCGAAACAATTGTATTGCAATATAATTCACGGAAAGATTGTATATTTTATATTATCTCAGGATTCATATTTGGCTTTTTTACAAGTTTTCAGGAAATTTTCTCAATTTTTGAATATTTGGGGATTTTAACACTTTACTTGGAACACTATTGTATCAGACAATATTTTCGACAATGTTGCTGTATTTCGAGCAGACCAATCTTTGACCATTTTGCCGTTGTTGCTTTTTTTGCTACGTACTCAAAGGGATAAAAATATATCTATCTCTATATAAATATGAGCTTTACAGAACGATTATAAAAAAATTATCTCAACAGAGAGAGGGAGAGAGAAAGAGAAAGAAAGAAAGAGAGTGAGAGAGAGAGAAAGAGAGACACATAGGGGGAGAGGGGGAGGGAGGGGGGAGGGGGAGAGAGAGAGAGAGAGAGTGAGAGAGAGAGAGGTTATTCAGATTGGGAATCTGTTTAAACGAGTAATACTCGTTTAAACAGATTCCCAATCTGATAACTGATCTGATTAAACTGATAACTGTTGAGGATAAATGTACAAAGATAAAAACACAAAAGAAATATTGGATAAAAACAGAAAGTAAAAATAAATATGTACCTTAGGCTGTAATGGTTCCACCATATCCACTCCCACGTCGTTAGTGTAAGACACGTTGGTAATTTCATTGGCGCTTGATGCTTTCAATATGTCGTTCATGTAATAATTTATCCCGAGGAAATCCGCCGAACCACGCACATCATCGATCTGCTTCTTCGTAAAACTTGGCAGACGCGATATGGAAAATCCTTGAGCGCGACTATAGTTGGCAATCCGTTCCTTCATAATGCTCGGGTAGTCACCAGTGCTGTCGAAAATCGGATTGAGTAACCCCTTGACGAACCACTGATAATCCCTTTCTGCTGCAGTCACATCTTCATGCGATGGAGAATTCGGGAGGGGATAGTTGCAACTGATTGTATAACCCACTTTACCTGTATAATAAGCCACAAATGCATCTATTTAATTGCGTCCGATATTCTCTAAGCAAACGCATGGAGTAACACATTACTTGTACCTTAATATTATTATAAGTGATTTTATTCAGGGACGACTTAGTAACAACATTATTATTTCTTTTTTCATTAATGATGGTTAGCGTAGTTACATTTTTTGGATACCGATAAGGAATATAATCGTTATTTTTATCTTTTCTTTGCAAACGCAAAATACATATATACAGAATGGGCAACAGCGTAAAGAAAAGGTCTTTAAAACTTGCGGAAAAAAGCAATGCTAATTGTAACATCTCCTGGATTTTTGATAACGGTAACAACTTACTTTTCAAAGTGAGTAACGATAATAGTGACAAGTTGTTTTTTTTAATGTAATAATTATTTTCTAAAACAAGTAACAACTACAGTAACAACTAATCACAGTTTCTTTTTTTAACGAACGAGTTTGTTTAATGTGTTTAACATCTATATAATAATTACGAGTTATTTTTCGGAAGAAACTTTTCCAGGCGTGTTCATGAGTGAACATACATATAATTTGCTCACAAATCGTGAATGAAGATTTTTTTTATAATCTCACCGTTTTGACTGGTACGAAATTCACGTTCGTAGAGGCGATATACCCTCGCATGAGCAAGTATGGCGTGATGTATACACAAGTAACCCGCAATTCCTGATAAGTTTATGAATAGTATAGATTCGTTGCTGTAACCGTCGTAGCAGAGATTGTTCGGTTCGTGTATGGTCATCCAGAATTTCACCTATGCAATATTCATCGTCAACTTTATTAAAACTTTCAGTTCGTCGTGTTATAATGAGCTACTTGGTGAAAAGTTTAACTTGAACAAAAAAGTCGAATTAACGCGTCATTTACGAAGTTTCGTAAATTGCAGATTATGGAAAAAGGAAGTAACAATAAAAGTATAACGATTCACTTTCTCGTATTTGCAACGCGAAATTATATTTACGCTCGCGATTCCTTTATATCCAGATTTAACTCTTTGAATTAAAAATAACTCAGCTAACAGAGAAGTTAATGGTCGAAATAGTATATAAGGCTCTTAGATATGCAATCGAAAAGCAAATGTCAACAAAAGAGTCTGAAGCGATGACATGTTTGCATTATATTGCATCAATAACAGTTTAAACTAACTATATAACATATAATACTTATAATATCGAAACATTTGTTATAACTGGTAGTCATTGTTTATAATAGTGGTATCAATGCGACTTACAATTAACACATTGCACACATCAATATTCCAAATTTCCATTGCTCCATTTTAACCCTTAGGTTATTAATTGTTATGACAATATGCCAAAAGAACGAAAGATCACGATATTAGAAAGTTGAATTAGTTCTGGTCCTTAGCAATAGATGGTTTTAGTAATAAGTTAATGGTTAGTACTAATGTTGAAATCTAGCAACATTGAAAGATTTGACATTTCTCTATGACATATGACAGTTTGCGCGCTATTGTCATTAATAGTTTTATTGTTTATACGCGTCTAAAATGGCTCATACAAAATTGTACTTTCGACATTTATTACTTTTTTGGTTGGCTTGAAAAGATCGGCAACTGAGGCTCATGAAATGCTTGTTACAACTTATGGTGATTAAGCTCCATCGTATTCCAGCTGTAAATTTTGGTTTCAACGATTCAAAAGTGATTATTTCGATTTGAGTGATAAAGAACATAATGGTCAACCAAACAATTTTGAAGATTTTGAATTGCAAGCATTATTGAATGAAAACACCGTTCAAACGGAAAAGCAATTGGCTGGACAACTCAATGTCGACAAATCAACAATTTCTAAATGCCTATACGCCATGGGAAAAATTCAAAACGAAGGCAAATGGGTTCCGCATGAATTAAATGAAAGTGCTATTGCAAATCGTTTGAATATTGTTATGTCTTTGCTTGCCAGACAGAAAAAAGAACTTTTGTGGTGAATTGTAACTGGAGATGAAAAGTAGATTTATTTTGATAATTCAAAACGAAAAGAATCATGGGTTAATCCAAGATAAACATCAACATCGACATCAAAAAGGAACATTTACGTCACAAAGCAATGCTTTGTATTTAATGGGATATGGAAAGTGTGGTGTATTATGAGCTTCTAAAACCGAATGAAACAATTACGGGGGTAACGATACCAGCCACAATTGAATAAATTGAATGATGAATTGATGCAAAAAAGGCCAGCGACAGCCAGCAATAGACGCAAAGTGGTTCTTTTACACGATAATGCTCGTCCACATGTTGCTTCAATCGTTAAATAAACATTATTTGAGCTCGAATGGGAAATCCTTTCGCACTAAGCGTATTCTACAGAACTAACATCATTTGACCGATCTTACCATCTATTTTGATCGATACAACACGATTTGGCAGATACATACTTAAATAATTACGAAAATGTGCAAAAATGGGTGTCTGATTGGATTGCTTCAAAACACAGATTGTTCTGTCGTCGCGGAATCGCTATATTGCCAGAAAGATGGGAAAAGGTTGTAGCTAACGACAAAAAATGTTTTGATTGATGTAAATTTAATTAACAAGTAAGTATAAATTAATAATATTTATATATCAATTATATATGTACGTGACGTATACAGGGTGAAGAAAAAACCACGGGACCCCTGAAAATTTCGAAAAATATACACTTTATAAAAAAATGTTGCAGACAAAAGTTGTAGCGTTGAAAAAGATCTATTTACTGATCTTAACAATTTGACCTGGGGTGGCGTCATCAAGGTCAGGATAAAGTCACCTCGGATTTTTTAAATGGAACTCCCAATTTTTTATTACATATTCTTATAGCCCTTCTTCAGACCTTTTCAAAGCACTATAGTTTTATCTAATTTGAATAAGCTGTTCTGAAGTTATCGAGTTTTTTAAAGTAAGATATCTAGCCAACCAAGGCAAGATCGTAGGATGATCCGGCCAATTAAGGCAAGATCGTAGGATGATCCGGCCAACTAAGGCAAGATCGTAGGATGATCCGGCTAACTAAGGCAAGGTCGGAGTGATCGAGCCAACTAAGACAAGATCGGAAGGTGATCCAGTCAACTTGTCAAAATAATTGCGCGACTAACTTCCAGGCGTTGGCTCCTATTGGTTTGTCTTCATTTCGTTGATTGATTTATTTCAGTTATTTATTTATTTGAACTATTCTGCTGTTCGATGTTTATTTCTTCCATTTACTCATTTAATAGTCATTACAGTTTAGTGAATCGCAAACTCGACTGAAATTCCTCTATTTTTTTGAAAATTATTAAGAAACAGTTTGAAGCTAGTTGTAAGCTGACTTAATTGCACTTCATTCCGTGCTCATTATTATTCTTCAGCACTGTCTTTAGAATAACTTTGAATTGATCCAAATATTAATTTAGTCGATTAGACTAAATTTTACCACTTCTGCTTGTCAATATGGCAAGTCTTTCAGAACGAGAACGCGTATCTCTTTTGATGATGAGAGGATGGGATGATCGACTAAGGTCGTACAATGATGTGAGGCGGCTTTTTAATGAAACTTTTCGTAATCATGATAATGCCATTTCAAAATCTAAAGAACGATAAGGCATTTTCAGGAAACTGGAAGTGTGAAAAATCGTGCAGTACCGGGTAGACCAGTATCAGCAACAAGTGTAGAAAAATCATTAGATGTTCTACAATCCTTTATCGAAAATCCATATGATTCGACCCGCAAAGTAGGACAGCAACATGAAATAGATCAAATGTCTGTGCTTAAAATATTGAAAATGAATAAATTTCATCCTTATAAGATCCATCTTGTACAAGAGCTAAAATGAAAATGATTTTGATAGATGCATTGAATTTTGTGATTTGATGATGGAAAAAATAGCCGAAGATCCTAACTATCTATCAAATGTAGTATTTTCAGATGAGGCAACATTTCAGTTAAATGGCCACGTTAATCGACACAATTGTAGATTTTGGTTAGATACAAATCCTCATTGGATTGAGGAAACACACACGCAGTATCCACAAAAAGTGAATGTTTGGGTAGGCATTTTGAATAATGTTCTCATAGGTCCACTCTTTATTGACGGAAATCTAACAGTGATAAAATATGAGAATATGCTAAGAAACGAAATAGTTCCAGCGATACAAGCAATCATAGATGACAACTTCGAGCATACATGGTTCCAACAAGATGGTGCCCCACATTACGGAAGTGACGTCCGTAATTATCTGGACACAGTGTTTCCTCATCGATGGATAAGTAGAAGAGAACCTATAGAATGGCCTCCTCGATCACCCGATTTATCACCTAACAATTACTTCCTGTGGGGCCATTTAAAAGATAGAGTTTACAAAACGATACCACAAAATTTGGATGACTTACGAAATCGAATTCTTGATGAAGCTGCTCTCATCCCTGCTGATTACATTCAAAAAGTCGTTTCATCTTTTTATGATAGATTAGCTTATTGTCAAACTGTTGATGGCGGACATTTTGAACAATTACTTTAAAGCTTTCCAGTATTGCCTTAGTTGGCCGGACAACTCCAGACCTTGCCTTAGTTGGCCGGATCATCCTCCGATCTTGCCTTAGTTGGCTGGATCATCCTCCGATCTTGCCTTAGTTGGCCGGATCATCCTCCGATCTTGCCTTAGTTGGCTGGATCATCCTCCGATCTTGCCTTAGTTGGTTGGATCATCCTCCGATCTTGCCTTAGTTGGCTAGATATCTTACTTTAAAAAACTTGATAACTTCAGAACAGCTTATTCAAATTGGATAAAGCTATAGTGCTTTGAAAGGGTCTGAAGAAGGGCTATAAGAATATGCAATAAAAAATTTGGAGTTCAATTTAAAAAATCCGAGATGACTTTGTCCTGACCTTGATGACGCTACCCAAGGTCAAATTGTTAAGATCGATAAATAGATCTTTTTCAACGCTACAACTTTTGTCTGCAACATTTTTTTATAAAGTGTATATTTTTCGAAATTTTCAGGGGTCCCGAGGTTTTTTCTTCACCCTATATAATACTCACCTTGTCACCGAAAGTGGAGAACACAAATCTGGCATATTGCTCGAACCAGTCGACAAACAATGGATTCGTTAAGCCACCTAATTTCTGCATATCAATCGGCAGGTCCCAATGGAATAACGTAACCATAGGTATCATTCCGTTCGCTAATATCTTATCGATTACATTCTTGTAGAATTGCACACCATTGCTGTTCACGTGATTTGTGAAGCCTCCAGATAAAAGTCTCGTCCACGATAAGGAGAGCCTGAACATTTGAGTCTGAGATCACGGAGATCGTTGTGAAAATTAAGTTGTGTCGATTGTATATCGAACTTTAATAAATGCGACAATTAATATCTTCCAGTTTCACGGTGCATTAGCAAGAAAACTTGTATTTTTAGCTAACGTTAAAAGGAAGAAATAAATAAGAAAAACTTTTTTCCCTTTGTATTTACATACATAATTTTTTCAAAACAATTTGTTGCTAAAACATAGATCTTTGCAAGAACTTATCATTTTTCATCGTCTTTATAGAATAAATTGTTAATTCTAGTGTTTTGATACAATATCATATTGTTTATATGCAGGATGTCTGGAATCTTTTGGAAACAAAAAATTATGAAGATTAATCAAATTAAACTGAGAAGAAAAATCAAGTATCATTTTACAAAAATCACAATAGTTATTAAGTTATTAATGATTGAAAATGACTACATAGAGAAGATCTTTTAATTGATAACTTGAAAATTTGCTTACTTACATGCAAAATAGTTATTTACAAAAGGACTTTTTTCTCAGTTTCACAATTCTTCACAATTTTTCATTTCCAAAAGATCCCAGACACACTGCTTATATATCGATTTGTCAATAATAAATTTGTCAAAAATTATTGCCTCAGACTTCGATGGCTGCAGTAGCTACAGTCACATAAAGATTACCGATCAGTATCGACCAAAAATATATCACCTCTAAGATGTTTAGGCATAACTTTATTTAAAATGTATGGATATGTGTCAGGTCATAACGTGTTTGATAACAAGTGCAGCTTATCGAACAAAATACTTTTAATCTAATAATATAAACAACAACTCATGGAAAATTTGAAACTAATTTCTTTACCGTGAAAAAAGTTATACTAAAAGATCCTAGAAGTTATATATAGAGTGGGGATTATCAGTTTACAACCCGAAGTGTGAAGGTAGATTGGGTTAAGACAAACATAAAAGTCCCATACCGTTTTGCGAGATCGATAATTATTGCGAATCTCGCAAAACGGTATGGGACTTTTATGTTTATCTTAACCCAATCTACCTTTACACTTCGGGTTATAAACTTATAACCCCCCACCCTGTATTTTTGGCCAGTACTATGTGAAAGCAGATTTACACACAAGAAGAATGTTGGTCTTTTTAGTTACGAATTCCCAAAATCCGCGGAGGGAGAAAATTTTTCTGCGGCAAATGCGGCCGCGTCAAAGTGACAGTCTATTGTCTGGCCGATATTCTATTTTATTCGCGACATACATGAGCTAAATATTTTTTTTTATTCACGTATGGCGGCAACTGAAAGGTATTAAGAGATATTCGTAACATGTGGATGCAAAAAAGTTCTTGATGCTTACACCAATGCTTCTCGCCAGACATATATCATCCTTATACTTATGGTAAAAATCGTTCGCCACGTCCAAATTACTTCCGTCCTCTACTAATTTTGGATTCTTATGAATCATATCATCCCATATAGACGGTGTTCTGCCTGTGGGTTATTTTGGAGACACGTTAGAGGGAAAATCGTATATATTTGTGCATTATTCAGAAATAATTGGTTACACATTTATAATTTTGTTACCGTCACTTTTTTCACTAACAACTTGTCACTAGTTATTGTTCTCATTTATAACAATAAAGCAATTACATTTTTCGCGTAACGAGAAAATAGATATAATCATTATTCTTATCGTTATTTTGAATATGTAGAATATTTATACATGGAATATGGACACAACAGTGAATCTTAAAGAAATGTCCGGCAAACCTGGTAGAAAAGGTAAAGGAAATTGTAACGGTCACTTTTTGAGTAACGATAACGAGTTGCTTTTCAAAATACATAACAAATTGGTAATAAAAAGTAAAGGGAGGAAGTAAAACACTACTTGTAACGACGTCATTGTTATAAATTATATTTTCTGAATAACGACTTAATAGTATTCTTTTGTTTTTCGTCAATAACGATAACGATAGCACAATTATATGTCTCATGTAACAAATTTAATTGTTTCGTTGTTACTCTGTGCAAATATAGAATACAATTGCACTGAACGAATGGCATTAAATCATAAAAAATAATATTCAAAACTTGGTGGAGAATTTAACGAAAACTGTAATGACTTGTTACTTCTTGAATAACGATAATAATGAATGATAAATTAGTTTTCATTCAATGAATAGCGGTATCGGTAATAAGTTACATTTCAAAAATAATTTTCTCAATCTTACGTTTTTACGAAGACGTGAGAACAATCTTTCATATGTATTATAACCGTAAAGTATAGAAATCAATTTTTGCGGCGAAACAAAAGTGGAAGAGATTCATTTGCTTAAAAGATTCGTATTATGTTTTTATCTCCATTGCATATCTCACCATTTACATTCCATGCACCCTCGTACTGTGGCGCAGAAGTCGAAACGCCGAATAGGAAGTCCTCCGGAAAAAAGTTATTACCGGAGCTATCCTTCATAATCTTATCAGGTTTTCTTCGAATTTCAACGCTCGAACCAAGCATGTATTCGAAGGCTCCCAATATTAAAATCGTCGTGATCTTCATATACTTCATCGCGATACGTTGGTTCAACAAGAATAACGTGATGTACCTGTTATTATCTGAAAAATGCAACTGTGCTATGTAGTGATGGGTGGCTGCAAATTTGATTTTCAAAATATCGGTCTTTTCCACCATAATTCGATTTTCTAAATTGATTTTTTTCTGTTCGATTTTTATATCAATCGATTATTTCAATATAGTACCACTGCACTCAACATCTGTTACAATCAAGATACTGCTTTATTTTTTAATATTAAAGAAGGTAAAAGTGATGGTAAAACTGTTATGTAGAATGAACTAGAATCCAAGCGATTGAAATGGTAGTAAAGCGGATGGCACATAGAAAAACGTAAAGCAGTAAAATGTAAGCAATAAGCAAATCAACCAATCGTAGGTGAAACATGTATGGTGACATTCTCAAATATGATTAATTGATTTACTTACTGTCTTACTGCTTACGTTATTCTATATGTCATAGCTCTTACTCAGTCCAAGTTGTACTTGCACAGTTATTTTTATCCAGACAATAAAATGTTATCAAGAAATTCTCTAAATGATATCTCGTTTCTGAACCTGATAATTTTAAAACACTTCAAGAAAATGACATGAACATGATAAAATGTTATCTAATGCGCTCATTTTTGAAAGCAGGAAGCATGAAAATAATGTCTAAAAGATTTTTCAAATCGAACATCTTTTAAATGTTCAAAGCATGTCAACATATAACGATCTTACTTATGATATCTAAAAGAAGACTGATGTCAATATATAAATATCTTAATTACTATATATTTAAGAGATAAGATGGTAAATATTTCTTAGGGAAAATAAATTGTCTCATTATTATAATACGATAAACATTTTGAAATTTTTGAACGCTTTGAAAATATGAGCAACTGATCGTAATTTGAATTAGTTACGAATAGAATAATATATAAACTATATTATTGTTAATAATATTGTTATATATGACTATATTATTGTATTAAAACTATATTATTGTTATGTGTTATTACCATAGGTATATTGTCATTCGTCATAATCGGACACATTAATTATATATCTAATATATCTAAACACTAACTTAGTATCGTAAGATCGATATTATAATTTCGTATTTAACAATGTAACTGTTACATATGTGTAACATTGCATTTACATTGTTGTCGACATTGCATTATTATTAGTTATTAGTGCTTGTTTTCGTATTGAATCTCACTAAATTCAATATAAAAACAAGCACCATGTGTCGTTGGCTTTATAAAATAAGAAAAACATATGTAAATATGTTAATTGCGTAAAATATTGTTTAGATAAATTTTTAGGAAATCAACTTGTTTGAGCCGATTTTTTTAGTAAATCAATTCTAGTAATTTCGATTCTAGATCGATAGAAAAATTGATTTTTTCTAAAAAATTGCTAATCACTATGCCATAATGAGGCCATTTTGTGATGTTCGATACGATGCATTTAATATTCAACGATATAGATAATATTATATTACATTTTAGATATATGTAGAATTTTTTTTAGATAAATTTTCAAGAAATAAATTCTTGTAGGCCGACTTTTTAACAAACCGATTTTAGTAATTTCGATTCCAGATCGATAGAAAAATTGATTTTTTCTAAAAAATCGCTAATCATTATGCCATAATAAGGCTACTTTGTAATATTCGATATGATGAACTTATTAATATTCGACGATATAGATAATATTATATCACATTTCAAATGTAAAGCAATTTTCGGAAATATGTGAATGTTTTGAGGTAAAAGGCATAATTTTCATAAGATCAGTGATCTATTTGAACTTTCAAATAATGACCCAGATCTGGAAATATATTCAAATAATAATCCAAAAGTTTGCCTAAAGAAGCAAAATTAAATGAGTGCAAATATATTTATGCGTTATACATGAACGATTTGTAAAATTATACAATATGAAATATAAATATCTCATTCCATACACATTTCCAATATTCGATGAAACATCTTTATTAATCATATTGATATACAGGGTGTCTCAGAACTTTGGCACACGGGCTCCGTAGGGACATAGAGCTAAGTGAGAGGAACAAAAAAGTCCTGTACCATAATGTGAAAATTGTAATAGGTTTTTAATTATAACAACGCAAAGTTAGGCGTTTTCCACGCCCAGCGCGGCCTATAGATGCTCCACGGCAAGCTGTGTGCGTAGGGGCTGAGCGATAACGCGGCTCGCACTGACCGTCACGCGGCGTCAAAGCGCTAAGCTGCGCCAATCGTGACAGTCAGCGCGAGACGTGTTATCGCTCAACCCCTACGCACACAGCTTGCCGCGGAACGTCTATAGGCCGCGATGGGCGTGGAAAATGCCAAATTTTACGCGGTTATTACAAACTACACAGTCTGTCCCAGATCCAATGAGACTGGTCTAAAAAAAATACAAAGCGTTTATTATTTTGATTTTTTATTCTTGTTTATTCAAAATAGTCTCCTTCTAAGTTAATACAGTGCTGGAAACGTTCAACAAATTTTTCAAAACATTTTTTATACTCATCGGTTGGAATGGCCTTTAATATGGCAGTCGAAGTCTTTTGGATGATGGGGATTCCCGAAGGAATCCGGCAAGCATGTCAGCCATCGTAACTGGTGATGAAACGTGGTGTTTTCAATACGAGCCAAAAACAGAACATCAGAGTGCGGCATGGAAGTCACCAGAAGAGCCAAAAAAGAAAAAATTACGCTTTCAGAAGAGCAAAATTAGCTCCGTGCGACTTCTGGCTATTTCCCAAACTGAAATTGGCGATGAAAGGAAATCGTTTCGATACCATCCCGGTCATCCAAAAGACTTCGACCGCCATACTAAAGGCCATTCCAGCCGATGAGTATAAAAAATGTTTCGAAAAATTTGTTGAACGTTTCCAGCGCTGTATTGACTCAGAAGCAGACTATTATGAATAAACAAGAATAAAAAATCAAAATAATAAACGCTTTGTATTTTTGTTTAGACCAGTCTCATTGGATCTGGGACAGACTGTGTATTACGATTTTTATATTATGGTAGAGGACTTTTTTGTTTCTCTCACTTAGCTCTATGTCCCTACGGAGCCCATGTCCCAAAGTTCTGAGACACCTTGCATACATGCAAATAAATAAATATGCAACTTATTAAGATAAATACGTTTCGAAAAGTGCAATTTATAATAATTTTAATATATTGTTACGTTTACTAGCGTAATTTTAAGTTGTCATAGTTTCATAACTGTTTCATAGTTACATAACAAATATGATCCCAAAAGGTATCTTCACACTTGATATATTTGTTTATTATCGTCAATATTTTACGAGTGAACAACAACATAACTGCAATTGAATATGCTTTTTATTAAAAACATTCATAACTCACGTATAAAAACAACTTGTACATTTCTTATAATGCAATGTCGCCGAAATGGTATTCATATCGCATCCATATAAATTTAAAATCGTTTAGAATGGTCTTTAAAAAGTAAACAAATCTCGATATTCCCTTGATATCTCGATCATATGCTCATTACGAAAACATACATGACCAGTCTCAAGATTTCAAGATCTCATGTTACGTCCACGTAACATTAAACAATATTTCTAAATTCAATCATAAAATCAATTCAACAATAACGTTTAGACCGGATATTTTGGCTACTTGATCCTCAGTCTAGACGTAATAAATACAACACCGAATGCTTCTTCATCGGAGATGATTAAAAGAACAATGGGTAGATAATAAATACCATAACCACGATTATTGATTATCACTCTTATATCATGGAAAACATCCTTCCCCTACTACTAATAAAGTGGTAAGAACTCGCGCGGGGGTATCTCACCACCTGCCTATAAAAAGCGACGCGCAGACCAGTGGATGGGATTGATTCATTGATTCGATTATCGTTCATTCATTCAGAAAGATTCATTCTATACCATTCATTCACTTACCCATTCTTGTATTTCACGACTCAAACACACAGAGAAAACATTCTTAACACTCTGATCTATTAACTCTCAATTGTAAAAGGTAACAATTAAAGATTCGATACTTAAAATTTTGTCTCCTCAGATTAAATCCTAAAGATCCTTCTTCGTTCCGAGATAAAACATAATTCACACAAACCAGTCCGTCCCGGGGTAAATTAGTTAAATCTATTAACCTCAAAAAGGACTAACTTACATACACGTTTCACGTCGTGACACTCAAAATCTCAAAATCTGCATAATCTTAAGGATTTAAATTTATCTACAGCATCATGTACAAGTTTTATGTACAATTAGACGATAAGCTTGCTGTATAATACAGAATGTTCGAGAACAATTTTGATAGACTTTGTGGGGGCATATAACGGACTAAGACGAACAAAAAAGTCCTATACCGTTTGGCGATGATTATCGAATTATTAACTATAGAAATCTGTGAGTGAGCGCACGCTAAAATGGTATTGATTGGTTTGATATTGGACGACATTGCAGCTGCTTAGGCCACAGTGCAGTCCACTCGATTTAGCAATTGTTGCCGACTCCCGGCAAGATATATGCCCGTATTTATAATCAGGCTTTATATTTTTTACCTAAAATCCATCCTCCTTATATCCATCTTTAGATGCTGCACGGATTATTTTATTGGCTACAGACCATCTGAAGATGAACTTAAGATGAACTTAAGGAAGCCTTAAATATAAGGCCTGTCTATACGAGCAATAGAAACGGCGAAACGAAACTAACGTATAGCTGAATAGCAACGCATTGCCCTTCTCCTCGTCGCATGTCAGCAACAGTTGTTAGATCAACTGGGCCGTGGTCTTGCCCAAGTGGCTGCAATGCTTCTCCAATCATCTATCTTGGCGCGCGCTCATTCGTCAGATTTCTGTAATTAATAACTCGATAATTATTGCGAATATCGCAAAACAATATAGGACTTTCTTGTTCGCCTTAATTCATTCTATGCTTCCACCAACTCTGTCAGAATTGTTTTAGGGCACCCTATATAATTGCTGTGTTCTGCTTTCTGTGTCAATAGAAAGGTTAAAATCAACGAGCAGTTTTTAATCCATAATAAAAGTCTGCGAACAAAATCACTCATTTCTAAAGTCTGTCTGAAATTCTATAATTTTAAATTACATATGGATTCTTGAATGACTGACTCTCCGTATAAATGTCATATACCATAAGATTCGAAACAAAGATTTTGTAATATCCGCAAGTAATATCATGACAATCTTCTTCAAATATTGATCCTAGTAATATAATTTACTTAA